TTGTTATATTTATTTATTTATTTATTTATTTATTTATTTATTTATTTATTTATTTATTTATTTATTTATTTATTTACATTCATTCATTCATTCATTCATTCATTCATTCATTTAATTCATAGTGTTTCATATGTTTAATTGTTTGTTATAGTTCAATTTGTTGTATCTTTCAAGTTACATTTGACTTTTAAACATTTTATAAGCTGATTTGAGATACTTTATTGGCAGAAAGTCAGGATATAAATAAAAGAATCTATGGGAACAGAAAGTTGGATTTGGTTTGATCCAGTGTGGCTCTTTTTTGTGTCAGAAGACATGTCTCTTCTTCTATACACACACATATATGTGTTGTAAGGTGGCATTTGCAACAAGTTTTACAGGTGTTTTAAAAGAAACAAAGCTCTTTCCAAGCAGCACTATACCAATTTATGCAGATTTAATTACTAACTAGAAGTATCTTTCATATTATTAATTTACTAATATTTTTAAATTGCGAGATAGTCCCAAATAAATCTCCACAGCATTTCTAATATAACTGTTTTGAGAACATGAATTAGGCTGGTTAGGATTAATTACAGTGCAGTTTCAAAATAATTATTCTAAACCCAAACATATCTCTTTGCAGGTTCAAGATTTAAAATACATCACATATGATATCCTAAGTTTGCTTTTTTGTTTTCTATATACAGGAGCTTCCAAAAGATACAGGGCTTTTCTCTGCTATTGATTAGGATAAACCAAAATAGAGAAATAAATCTGACTTAAACATTTTAAAGTTTTCCAGTGCCTTAAGGCATGATTCTGAGTTGCTTGCGTGTAAAGAACAGTTGTTTTTAATGGGAAGGGAGGACAGAAATGCAATTCTGAGAGGAGCGGTTATATCATCTTACACTTCAGCTCATGCCATTCCCACCTCATTTCTGCTATCTTCTTTACTCCGAGCCAGGAAAACACATGAGTGTATAGCCACAGTAATGATTACAGGACCAAAATAATAAACAAGATACAAGAGACGGGATGGATTAAAATTTAGTATTTGATTTTACATATGAATGGTTTGGCACAACATAAATTGCAGAGAATGTACTTCGGTTGGTACTACTGTGCATCTAGATGTATAATAGTCCCTGTTTTTATACGAAGACATTCCTATAATCCATGTTCAGTAATAGCTACTGCAGCCTGCAGCAACTTCCTAGTGTTTTAGTTAGAAGCCTGCTCTAGTCCTCCCAGCAGCCGCTTTTAACTGGATATAGCATGAATGCAATGTGGAATTAGATGGCTGTTATAGCCACCACATAGTTATGGCTTATGAGAGGCTTCCATATTATTTATCTGTGACACATGAATGGCAGAGACTGCACTCTTTAAAAACTTTCTGGCAATATTTTGATTACAGGTACTGCTCATTCATGATGCTGTTCAACCCCTAAACCCTGCCATGTGCTGAAAGTCTGGTGTCTCTTATTGTGCCTTTCACCAAGTGGACAATATGGAGCTTGAATTATGAAATGAAAATTGTGGTTCCTGAAATATTTTTCCCACTATGCGAGATATTGTAGCATGTAGGATCTTTCTCTAATCTATTTGTGAGTGGGTGTGGCTTCTTCAGAGATCTAACTATATGAAAGAAACTAGTCTGCTTTATACAGACAGTCTAAATTGTCATGTTGCTTAACTGTGTGGTTTTTTTTTCTTTATAAGGATACCTGTCAAACATTTTCTCTTCAGTTGCTGGTAAAAGCACACATTTTCTCAACACAGATGTCTATGTGTTCCTATATTTCAGAAAGCAGAGGAATTCCCCCGAAAGAAAAAAGTTGGTTTAAAGCAAAAGGTTACAGCTAGAGATGGGGACAAATATAGCTGATTCGTTAAATATTTGTCGATCTGTATTTGTGGGTTCCAGAGACCCTCATGAATACGAAGGGATGAATATTTACCCATTTTTATTCATCCTTCGTATTAAAAAAAACCAACAACACCATTCTGCCTACCAGCCGCCAGTCCCCTTCCTTTCCCTATCTTAGGAGCATGTCTCATTGACCAGGATCCTACTGCAACAGCCACCCAATACCACAGCCTACCTCCATCCCCTTCCTTTCCCTATCTTAGGATCATGTTTCATTGACCAGGATCCTACTGCTAGTTTCAACTACAGCAGAGCCAGTGAATCAATTGCTGAATGATAAGTCAATATTTATGTAACTACTTGAGTTTGTGACCATATAAGAGAGAGAGAGAGAGTAAATACCACTGAGTCAGTAGGTTCACTCTAGCTGGCACTAGCCATAGCATATTGAACATTGTATTTAATAGTTTGTGACCATATAAGAGAGAGAGAGAGTAAATACAACTGAGTCAGTAGGTTCACTATAGCTGGCACTAGCAAGAGCATATTGCACATTGTATTTAATGGGCTTAGTTTTTTGTGGGTAGAGGTATTTTTCTCACTAGGGAATCAGGAAGTGGAGCTTACTTCTTGTGATTACTAGCAGTAATAAGATAAGGTACAAGAAGAGTGCATTAATGCGCTTTTGTTTTGAGAGAGGATGGCGGGATATTATTATTTTGCTTTGGAAGGTATGTATTCAACCATTAACATTAAATCAAAAGAGTTTTTTCCCCTGTTATGGGAACATTTATCAATTGAAAGCATTTTATACTATTAACTTTTCAGGGATCTGCAAGGAAAAACAGAATCCATTTATCTGGTTCACAAAGGATCTCCTGCTCAATGCATTTATAATGTACCACAGTATATAAAACAAATGGCTATTTAAAAGTCTGTTGCAGATGTACCCATCAACAGACATGGTACTTGTACTCTCTAACTAAATACAGCTATATCAAATTCTAGAACAAGATCTCATTTTTTCAGTAATTACCTCCCAACCGTACGCTCAAGATCATACCACAGTGAACTATGAAACATAGTGTGAGATTTAGGGAATTGAATGCTGGGTCCTAAAAGTAAGACAGTTTCTTCATTGTTAAACTTAACTAAGCAAAGTTGTGGGACTCCATGGCCCAATCCATTGCTTTGGGTGGGATGGAGTGTCATTCAAAGTGACAAAGAGAAACTCACAACAAAATATTGCAATCAATCATTATTCTCCAGTGCCAGCCATGGTTCTTGCCAGTCAGCCTCCTCCAAGATACTATAAGGAGCTCAAAAAAGGCATTCAATTTCTCCTGATTTCCCTGTATATCACTTCTGATACACCAACATTACATTAAAACTAAGCATGTTGAGTCCCTGCTGTAGGGTATTTTGTCTTATTAGTCTTATTTTTTAAATAATAAAACAATACTGTTTTAGTTTGTTTGGGTTTTGTACTTCTTCAAATATATTGTTGCTCAATGATCTCATTCTGGCTCCATTCCTTTCAGTTCTTGCCACTTGAATTTGCTATTATAGGGAATTAAACAATAATGTAAAAACTGGTACTGCTGTTTTCTGTTTTTTTTTAAAGAACTGGTGATAAAGTTTAATAATGTATATTTATTTTACTCTTCTCATCTCATCCTTTCCACCGTTGCTACATTTTCTACTGAGTACAGTGGAAGTGATAAATGTTGCAAAGAAGTAAATAGGCAAGTTTAAGACAGACTACATTTGTCATTGAAACAACCCATTTTACCAAATCTGAACTCTTTTAGTATTCAAATAACTAGCCATAGATACATGAGCAAAGAGATGTACCACACAGCCTCACCATGCTCCAACTGGCATCCATGGACGATGCACAAACATGTGCAAATATGAGGCCTCCATACACACAACTGAATATGCAGTGACCGCCTCTCTTCACTCATGCTCTCTGGGCACATGCCAGCGCAATGGATCATGTGATATCAAAGCCTGGCTATGTAGGTATAGCCCTACTCTCAACTCATACATTTCCAACACCAGTTATTTGAATGGCAAACTAGGATTGTTGTGCAAGATAGCACAACTATATAAACATCAGTGATAAATATTAAGGGAAGATTTCCAAAATAAATCTTAAAACCTTCCATTTGCTCTGTAAGATGTTTGCAAGCCCTTCAACAATAGACTAGTTTCTCAGTGATATTAACCATATAGACCTTATTATATTCCTCTTTAAAAAGCTAGATGATCTCTGTGTGTGTGTGTGTGTGTGTGTGTGAGTGAGTGAGTGAGTGAGTGAGTGAGTGAGTGAGAGAGAGTATCTGCAGTATGCATTCAAAGAAAGCTACATTTTTCATCTGAAGATTGGAGGCTATCAAAGATCTCATCAAGTATCTTTGCTAATATTTTGAAAAGGCTTAAATACATACACCCATTCTGATTCTGGACATCTTCTGTAGGCTCGCAGAACAGCAAGGGCAATGTTCAAATTGCTTTCTTCACATAATTCTTTCGTCTTCTCAGTGTTAAGGCAAGTGAAAAGAACCATACAGCAATAACCATTTATTTTCTCATCCTGGTGATTTATGCAATTCCTTTAAAAAGAAAAGCATTTATTGTTAAAATCACTTTGGAATAATGTGCTATGATTTGATTGCATAGCTGATATGTGATATACCACATCTTCAGAACTGAAAGAGGTACAACATTGGTTTCAACTAGCTTTCAATCAGTTAAGTCTATAAAGGAGTAAATGGAACACACCATTCTCTGATCATTTGTCTGACTATTTAATAAAATGATTGCATGCTGTCATGTTGATTTCAACTTACAGGCAACACCTTCCAGGATTTTCTAGGTATAGAATACTTGGCAATGGTTTACCATTCTCTTTTTCTGGGAGCACTCTGAGAGTGTGCAGCTTGTCCAAGATTACACAGGATGGCTTATCTCCCCAGAAGCTCAGTGAGGAATTGAACTCCCAGCTGAACCTAAGTCACTGAGCAATCCAGCTAGCATATCTAAAAATTCACCTGAAATAAATAAGCTGAGGATTGCTTCTTGATCTTCCTGCAGGTAGTGACCCAAAAACTGCTATTATAGCAACTAAGCATAAACATTATTTGCTTAAATATACTAATTAAAATAAATTTTGTGATGTCAGATCAACTCTGACTTAGCAGCAACCCTCCTAGGATTTTCTAGGTACAGGATATTTAGAAGTGGTTTATCAGTGACTATTTCTGATGATGCTCTAGGAGTGTGGAGCTTACCCCAGGCCACATGACATGGAATTAACCAGAAAAATCCCCTCAAACATTAATCATCTTGATTGGAGATGGAATGTAAGAATTGAGCTCAGGAAAAAAAAATCATCTACTACAATAAAAGATCATTCTTCTCTCAGATGTAAGAGTAAATGCCTTGTCTAAAATGCCTAGTCTGCAAAAACGTTTAACAACGTAAAAATAAATACAGTAAACTTTCTGCCTTGATTTTGCAGGTTTGTTGACAGGCAAACTGATCCAGCTGTAAAAAAACCAAACCTATCTAGAATAAAGTATTTCAAGATTTTTTACATCTCTGCATTTTCACACAGTCCTTTGATGATATCATATTTCAAAGCATTTTTAGACAGATACCTTGTTAAAGTTTAAGCACAACGTACCTATCTGTATATATTTTAGCACAAAACCTGAAACATACTCTATAGATCATACTGATAATCCTGCAACCTGAGGTCATATTTTTTTAAAAAGACAGCCCCTGGGATACTGACTGCTGCAGATAACAAAAAGAAATAAAGCCACAGGATTTACTACCCCGCTCTCCAAAATGCTAACCTTTTCCCCCCAGAAGCACTTCAGTGCTAGCAAGCACTGTTGTGATGATAAAATAATTACATAATGTTAAGTCTTAGGTGGGTAAATATGCCTGCTGTTACTTACAAGAATAGTGAAGGGAAAGCCAGCTTCCAAATATTATTCTGGGATTCTCTGTTTCCTGTTGCAATGTTTCCAAGAAACTGGAGACTACAACGAAAGGCTATAAGGAGTAAAAAAAAATTTTAAACAAACCCATCAGTGTCCTCAGTGTGTTTGGTGGCGCAGAAGGCACAGGACAGGTAAGCAGAGTTAGGGATTACACATAGAATGGGCAAAAGTGGACATTCATCCTCAGGCAGGCGCAGAAGGCACAGGACAGGTAAGCAGAACTAGGGATTACACATAGAATAATGGACAAAAGTGGACATTCATCCACAGCCGTACAGTTACACAAGCATTCTCCCATCTAAACAGCAGAAAAGGAACACAGTTGAGGCCCTGACCTTCCATCTCTTGTAAAGTCACAAGTAGGAGTCAGGTGGCTTGGGAATGTAGCCTCAGGCAAGAGAGGGCCCCACTTGGAGCACCTCCACTACCCCATAACTCTTCAATGGTAAATTTCAGTGACACATCAATAGGTAAATCTATGCATGCTTGGGTATAAGTGCAATTGAATTTTATGGGACCTGCTTAGAATAAATGTGGATAGCATCAATTTTGATAACCTTCTGCAGGTCATCTAACCATGCTGAAGACCAGATTATTGTCTTGTGTGGTGCTTTACACAACAGAGAGAAGAATATCAAACAGATATGATCTTCCCGCTGTAAAATCCATATGAATTTAGCCAATCTTCCATCACACTGTCACAGATCAAATAATATTTAGTCAAGAATGGCGCAGGCTTAGACATTTCATACACACTACTAATTTATGTTATGAGTCAAGCCCAATAAGCCACTGCTCTCAGTTTAAATGAACAGTATAGCCCTATTTGCATTATTGTTTCAGATTTCAGATTATGCTTTATAAAGACCAAAACCAGGACTGCAGCTGAGACTCCTCCACTGTTGCTTTCTATATGATGCATCATTTCTGCTCACTTCTGAACCAGTTAATTTTAATTTAATGTTACTTAAACAAGTCAAAATACTGAGGGATAGAGGAGCTTGGGTGGAGTTTTTAGCCCTAGCATTTATTCCTGGAACAATACTTAGTGTATAGCTATGCCAAATAAAGTCCCATTGCAGCATTTTGATTGAGTTCCATAGGGCACTCTTAGGTCCAGGAACAACTCGAAAAGCCGGACCTACATTTAATAGTATTCCTTATAGATTACAGATTTAATTTATGCTCTTCGATACAGCCTGATGGGCTACAACACACTAAAGTATTCATATTCCTTATAATAGGGCTGGCTCATTACACACATTCAAGTACGTAATACACAGCTATTCACAAAATCTACCAACTGCACAAAAGCTAAGTTTGAGCTGTACAAAAACTATGTTTTACTTCCTACATTTCCAAATATTGCAGATTTCCTTTAATGAATATATAATTTAGGATTCCAGACTAGGTCATACAATTTATTGTTTCTACAGTAGCAAGACAGTACTGACTTGCTACTCCACACACAGCTAAAACAAAATCTATATACATTGTATTCTCTGCAAATATTTTTTCTGCTCTGCCACAAATATTTAGAGTTTAGACAAAGATTGATTTTGGTCTGTCACTTAGCAAATTAGTCACATTTATGGTGACTCAAGACAGTAAACTAGACAGCAGAGGGGAAATATAATTCTAATAGAGGAAATCCATTATTGCAGCCTATATAGTATAAAAAACAATATTTCAAAAAGAAAGTATTGAATTCATTTACTACCTACTTTATTTTTAGGTACCCAGGCAAACCAGTGCAATTTGCAGTCAAGGAACTCAACACTCTTAAGATTTCCTTTCTCAAAAGCTGAAGCCAGTATGCTATATTGCCAGCATTTACTTTCTTTTAAATGCATCCAATACGCTATTTTTAACTCTAACACAAATTAAATTTTCCCTAACAGGATGATTTGCAGTTTCTTGAAAAGATGCTTTCCAAAGACATGTTTCAATTAATAAGTCAGTACCTAACAACCCAAAAGCAGACAGTCAAGACATTTCAATTATTCTTTTTAAGAAAAAAAGAAAAAAAAAAGGGGGGGAGAAGAATGCCACTCTGTAGAAGTGCACAGCATTAATCTACAGAGAAGTTCCAGCATGTTCAATAAGGTCTACATTTCTGTCCTTTGATGGCTGGCATGTAAACGTATAATTAAATATTAAAATATTGTTAACCACGTATTACTAAAGATCTGTCCACTGCAGATGTGAGTATTGATTTCCAGGCCCTGGAAATCCTGGAGTATCTGTTTGAAAGGTGCTGAGCCAGCTGGCAAACATAACTGTTAGAAGGGCCTGGGAATACTGCTTCTCCAGAACACATAAAAAGCAAACTTAACACGAGGTTACTTAGGGCTGAGTACAAAGCAATCAGTATCTTTTGTTTTAAGCTTTTAAAAGTATTTCCCCCTCAAATGGTGAATTAGTAAAACAAACAAACAAAAAACCTATTGAAGTTAATTACCTGAAGTTAACACATACAGGTAGTTAATTTAATGTTACACACCTTCGTGCAAGAATGAATAATCCTCAATGTATATATGGTACTCAAGAAAAAAAATTAAATAGATCTCTGCCTCAAAGAGACTATAATGCAAATTTCAATACTAGGGGAGACTAAAAAGAGAAGAAAAAGGAGGGAGATACAAACATAGGTAGTAAGAGCCTTGTATATAGTTACAATGGTACCTGTCAAGGGATGGAATACATTAGGCAGCAAGTGAACAGGTATTTCTTGAAGTTCACGTGTTGGAAGCAGGAAATATGGGCAAGTGAAAAGATCTGAGCGACTTTGACAAGGGCCAAATAGTAATGGCTAGATGATCAGAGCTTCTTCAAAATAGCAAGTTTTGTCAGGTTTTCCTGGTATGCAGTGGTTAGTACCTACCACAAGTGGTACAAAGAAAGAGAGTCAGTGAACCGGCATCCTGGGCATGGGTGCCCAAGGCTCGCTGATGCACATGGGGAGTAAAGGCTAGCCCATTTGGTCTGATCACACAAGAGATCTCCTATAGCTGAAACTGCTGAAAAACCTAATGCTGGTCATGATAGAAAGGTGTCAGAACACACAGTGCAGTGCAGTTTGCAACACATTGGGTTGTGTAGCCGCAGACCAGTCAGAATGCCCATGATGAAAAAGCACCTACAATGGAGATGTGAGCATTAGAACTGGATCATGGAGCAATGGAATAAGGTCGTCTAGTCTTGTTTTGACATATAAAGCCCTAAAAGGCTTGGGCCCTGGATACCTGAAGGACCGCCTCCTTCCATATGAACCTACCCGGCAGTTAAGATCTAGCCAGGGGGCCCTTTTGAAAGAGCCATCCCTTAAGGGGGTAAGAGGGACGGCTTGTAGACAAAGGGCCTTTTCGGCAGCTGCCCCCAGACTATGGAATGCCCTCCCAACTGAAATTTGTCTGGCACCAACGCTGATGACATTTCGGTGCCAGGTCAAAACCTTTCTGTTCCTGAAGGCTTTTAATTGAACTAATATTAGCTGTGGGTCCGATGGCAATTTTATATATATATTAATTGTATTTTAAATGTTGAATTTTTATTGTATTTTAAATATTGTAAGCCACCCAGAGACTAATTAATTAAATAGTCTGATTAATCATGTTTTCTTTTAGATCCGGTGGATGGTCAGGTGAATGTGTGTCATTTATCTGGAGAAGAAATGACAGCAGGATGCACTATGGGAAGAAGGCAGGCAGGTAATGTTCTGCTGGGAAACCTTGGATCCTGGCTTTCAAGTGGATGCTATTTTGACACGTACCACCTGCCTAGAGATTGTTGCAGACCATGAACATCCCTTCAGGGCAATGATGTTCCCTGATGGCAGTGGCCTCTGTCAGCAGGGTAAACCACCCCGCCACACTGCAAAAATTGTTCAGGAATGGTTTGAGGAACATGACAGAGTTCAAGGTGTTGCCTTGGCCTACAAATTCCCCAGATCTCAATCTGATGGAGTAGCATTTATGGGATGTACTGGAATACCAAATCTGATCTATGGAAGCCCACATCATTACATGCAGGACTTAAAGGTTCCACTGCTAATGTCTTGGTACATTATGGTACATAATGTCAGATACACCTGATACCACAGGACACATTCAGAGGTCTTGTGGAGTCCATGCCTTGCAGCATGAGTGGAACTACATGATATTAGGCAGGTGGTTTTAATGTTGTGGCTGATCAGTGAATGTTTTAAATCAAGCTTTTCAAAACCTTGGAAAGGGGTAGAGATGGCAAGTCTTCATGATGGCTATATATTTTCTCCTGTATCTGCAACACAGACGAAAGAGTGGTACAGTGCTGCCTTGCATTACGATGTTAATTTGTTCCAGTGAAATCGCTGTAGAACGAAAACATAGTAAAGTGAAATTTAAAAGCCCATAGAAACGCATAAAAAACCGATCCTATGGGCTTAAAACTCACCGTCCAGTGAAGATCCTCCATAGCGCGGCCATTTTCGCTGCCCGTGCAGCGAGGAATCCGTCCCAGAAAAGAGTGGGCGGCCATTTTTTTACCTGGTGGCCATTTTGAAACTGCCGATCAGCTGTAGGAAAATCGTCATTTTGCGAGAATCGGTTCCCGAAGCAGGGAACCAATCATCGCGAAGTGAAATTCCCCCATAGGAAACATCATTTTGCAATCACTTTTGCGATCACAAAAACTTCATTGTAATGCGATTTCGTCGTAAAACGGAGCACTTGTCTTGCGAGGCACCACTGTACTTTACTCACGTCCTTATGGGTTTCCCATGAACATTTGGCTGGCCTCTGTATGAACACAAAGGTTTTTCATCTGATGAAGCAAAGGTTTTCTTATGTTCTTATACGGCTATTTTCCAAGACAGATTTTTTTAAAAAAATTAAGCATATGTTCATGTTTTGAGAAAGGAGTGGGATGGTTTGTGGTCTGCACTTCCTTACTTTTCGGGATTCAGCTTCATTGTAATCTTTTTGCTTTAAACCAATGTGCTTTTCTCTCTTTAGGGAAATTCCCTGCTATTTAAAACACAGGAACACATAGACATAATCACTGAGACAATAA